TTTTATCAGTTGTAGCATTCACCGAGGAAATAGAATAGAAAAAACCTTCTATGTGTAGTTTTTCCTCAGACTGGTTCGATTCTTTGCCGCCAGTGACCGTCTCACGAAGGCTGTTGGACGGATTCGGGCGTCCTAATGTTGAAAAGTTAATATAATTTTTTCTCACTCAATATTTTATTTAAAGGTGGTTGGAAGATCTAAATTTTGCTGAGACGAAATGCTCAGACACATTTTGCTTTCGGGAGCCTCCAGCTAGGTGGCGCAGAAAGGCAGCCCTTGTGAGGCCCCATTCAACACGGTGCGCTTGTGTCTTTTTTTGTATTGGTCTTATTGGAGCTTTAACCCTTGGCTTGCTTCTGTGAATAGGGTTTTTGTTATCCTTTGCTTCCGCAGCGCCTAACATACCTGTGTTTGCCTTGGACCGGCAGTAACGTCGGGAGCGATTGCACCAGCCCCGCTGGGCAATCCCACGGCCTCTCCCTTTGGTTTCGGCTGTTGCTGCAACTGTCTCTTGAGATCCTTTCGACGGCATGATGGACTCTAATGGCGCCGTGCAGGCGCCGCCTGCGCCCCCTCAAGCTGCGCAGTCAGCCAACAGCGCTGCAGCTACTGGACCAAGTAGTATGGCTGTCCAGCCCAACGGGAGTGCTCACACGTACACAGAGGAGGGGGTAGTGGAGATGGTGTGTCGCCTCAACTCCCCTTCTGCTGCCAGAGAAGGGGGAGCAACAACTAGCGCAGCCAACGAATACCTCACAAACTTCCAGAAGGATCCGAGCGCCTGGGGCATTTGCATCTCCATTCTGAATAAGAACAGTCATCCCCAGCAGCAGCAGCAGCAGCAGCTACTTGCACCCGGGAACCGATCCCCCGAGGTTCTTCACTTCGTTGCCCAAACCCTGGCTGCGCAGGCACGGGCAGGCTTCCCACAGCAGCTCTCGGCTCTCTTGAGGCTGCCGGGGGCTTCAGCTGTCTCAGCTGCAGCTGGGGGTGGTACTTCAGTAGGCGGTGCATCTCAGGTGTATGCGGAGCTACGGGATGGCTTGCTGCAGCTCGTGTTTGCCTTCAGAGATGCCCCCTTACCTGCGCTGCGTCAGTTGTGTATCGCCCTCTCGGCAGCGCTCATCTTCGGTGCCTCTGCCACAGAAGGGGCCCCCATAGGGGGCCCCGGTGCTGTGGGTGGGGGCCTCCAGCTGGGTCCTGTGCTGCAGACGCTTGGCCAGAAAGCAGGAAAGGAGGGTTTTTTACCTCTGTTGGAGTTGCTTGTCTTACTCCCTGAGGAGTTATGCACCAAGCGGTACGTGTGAAGGTTGAATCTAGGGTTTAGGTTTTGTGGTTTAGAATGAGGGTTTAGGGTGTTTGGTGAGCTCTGCTTCATCTGCGCTTCAGCATTGCCCTGCCAGAGGACCGCAGGCTGCCGTGTCTCGCGAGCTGCATCAGCAACAACTCCCTACAAGTCCTGGAGGCAGTAGAGGCGATATTCCTGCAGGCGCAGACAGCGCTTGCTGCTGCAGCCCCAGAAGAGAGGCCCCGCTGGCGAGCTGTGCTGCATGCAGGTCAGAGGTTTACTCCCTCTCTTCCTAGTCATGGCGGCGACAGTATTTGTACAGGGGCCAGTCGGGCACCGCAGGCAGCAGAACAGTAGCTGCAGCAGCAGCAATAACTTCTTTAGGGGCTGCTGCACTGCTTGCTGCTCTGTGCTGCACTTGCTTATCTCCCTGTGTGGGTTTGCTGCTGCTCAGCTGTCCGGACAGTGCAGTCCTGGCTATCGGCGGCTTGCTGCTGGGTGCAGCAGGTTGACGCGGAGCAAGCGAACCAACACAGCCAGCAACAGCAGCAGCAACAGCAGCAGCAGCAAGGGCCCTGGGGTCTCTCTGTTGCGTTGGAGGCGTTATCTGTCTGCCTCCAGCGCCTATCAGGGGGCAAGGTTTTCCCTGCTCTGTTGGGTGGAATCATCGCCGAGGATGTAGAGACACTGCAGCTCTCAACAGAGTGCGTAGTGGC